TTAAATACCCTCTGAGAACACCTCCAGACTGTTGACCCCTATTTTGTAAATTTTTCAAAATAGGTGCGGATATTTGGCATATATGATTGACTTGAAGTAATAAAGCTTTTGATATATCGATTGCTGAGCTGTAAGATTTCGAATAAAAAATACTTATTATGACTTTTTATTTTGGCATGAACCACTGGGGTCAGCCCTTTAAAAATTATTTAGCTATAAAAATATATCGACAAGACTTATCAGGGTGACCTACAGATACAGAGTCCGTCTTTGGGAGCTTCCACTAGAAGTATTCGCCAAACCAAAACTACGAAAGTTCTGAGGATTTCAATACAAGGTTATGATGTCGGGGCTAAATCATCTAAAATATCTGCAAGTCGGTACCACTTCCGATTATACCGGAATAAAATGTATGTTATTCCACAACGGTTGAAATTTCGTACCCAGTTAACAAAATGATCTTAAAATCCGACAGATAATTTAAAAATGTAATAATATACAGGGCGTTCGATTTAACATAAGCGAGTAAGTACTTACTTCCGGTATAACTGGAAGTGGCAGTGGCGAGTATTTTAAATGATTTAGCCCCCACATAATTACTTTGTATTGACATTTTTAGAACACAGTTAATTTTGGTTTGGCAGATACTTTCAGTGTAAGCTCCCAAAGACGGACTCTGTATATTTGGGGAACCCAATAAAAAAGAAACCCAGTTCAGTTTACTAACATTGTAAAACGCAGATATAAGAAAATAATCACAAAATCAAATAACTTACCCTGCGCCTTAAAAGCCTGGATTGCGAATTTATGTAGGAGACAGTAAATTGTAATGAATTAAAAAGGGGCGGCACTCTGTCAATAGCACCGGTTCTATTTGGATTGCGAGGATATGTATGGTCTGTGGTTACTGCGTGCATATATCCAAACATATCCTGCATATTCCCTGGACTAGTGGTACCTTCAGTCTCCATATTGTTTGAGGCCTGAAAAAAGTTTTCAGCGCTGCTCATTGCGGTTCATTCAAATTTTCAACATTTTGCATTTGTGCCTATTTATTCAAATAAGTACAAATGCAACATGTAGCTGAGTTCTTAATTTTAAAAATAAGCTTCAGACCGAACTTTGAAGGTTAATTTACGGTAGGCTTATGAGCAGTGAACTAGGATAAGCTGATGATGATGGCTTTTGATTAATTAGATTTTCAAGTGTTATAACATTTTTTGCGATAAAAATATTTCTATACTATAAAGGGTACTGCGATATTCTTTGGATGACCTAATTTTTATTTAAAGAAATGTCTGGCTCCTCTGCCATTAATGGTCAGTTCTACAAAAAAACATCTTTTTTGAAATATCGGGAAAACGGTACGATGTATTTTGGTGTAACTCGCTGTTAATTTGTTTTTATGTAAGACTCATATTTTGATTTGATTTTGATGAAGCAATCGAGTTCAGCCGATTTGAACAAGTGGCGAAAACGGCTGAACTCGATTGTTTCAATAAAATATGAGTTACATAAGAACAAATTCACAGCAAGATTTACCAAAATACATCGTACCATTCTCCCGATATTTCAAAAAAGATATATTTTTTTAAGAACTTTGACCATCAGCATCCAATAGCAGAGGAGCCAAACATTTTTTGTCAATAAAAGTTAGGTCAGATGGTCTTATTTTGACGCAAAGAATATCGCAGTATCCCTTTGATCATGTGCTTACGGGACATCCTTTATAACCACAAAACAATTCACAAAATATAAACAATTAGAAAATAAGAATAAAAACCTGTTGACTGAGCAATCAGCTAACTAACCTGTTTCAAAAAAAATAAACAGGGTTACAATCTTTCTGCTTCATGAACGAGACACGAGTCGTTCATTCGCAGGTTTCAAAACAAGAAAGTTAATTTTGAGATACGTTCCAAAGAAAAAATTAATAGGCATAAAAAAGTCATAACAATTAAAAACATGTAAGGAGCCCATTGGATAATTATATATTGAGATATTGAATATAGAAAATGTGTTACTTCAGTTCGAAGATCTCGGACATAAAATCCCGGATCATTGAAATTCCAACGTGGTTCATTTTCTGTTGTAGATCTAGCGCTTTCGGTGGGCCCACTGGGTAAACGGTCAAAACTTCTCATATTCCTTAACATGTTTTCCGAATTGGCCATTATATTATCCATCCTAAATAAGACAATAATCATGAATAAAAATGCAAGAAATGATGCCACTTTCCAACCTCTGTGAAAAACTGCTCAGCATACCGGGTCGTGATCCCGATATATTATTAGCCCTGATATTTCTAACATCGTCAAGAGATGACTCAAGGTCTTGAACAATATTCGAAATCATAGGACCCAGCGCTTGAAGCTGCCCAAGACCATTCTGACCATCATCTGGCTGTTCAAAAGGTTGTTGCGCCGCAGTTGAAGCATCTTCTTCGCTTTGTTCCCGTTCAGCATAGTTTATCAATTCATCTAAAACTATCGTGGGACTTCGATTTGCTCTTGGAATACCTGAAACAAGTGAAATTATTCAATATAGACACTAAACATGCAATTGAGTATAATTTCTACATTTTTAAGAACTTGTTATGCCTGTCAA